ATTTAATACCTTTTACGCATAATTGCATCCACTGGACTACGAGTGTTAGATGCAGTGCTCCAATTTCAGAATATAGCTTTTCCTAGACAAGATTACTTTCCTACAACTCAATCATGAAAATCTTCGACGTTCTTATCGCAAATAACAGTGCTTTTATTTGCAACAATTTTTGTATCCTATTGGAGACTTCACATTTACTTTCACCAAAAAAATCTACTGTATTCCTGTAAAATTATCCACTGTTATACGGTTTCAATATTAATTCTCTTTCACATTTGTACAGCTTCGAATTATTCGTATCCATAATTTTTACATTCCGATAATGACGCGCGATAATTGTTGTATTTGTTAATCGTAACACTTGTGGATTTTCATTGTAAACACACCGTTTATCGCTATGCTCCGATTACTCTTGCGATCCACCGATGATGTGTGCCTGCATTAAGTACACTGCGAACGCTATTATAATCTTGGAACTTCTCTCTTGTAAATAACATATCGTATTAAACATTTTGAGTATAACGTAAACATTTCACGCAATTAAGCCGGAAACGTGAAAAAACGTCCGAATATTTTTACGAGCCACTTTACATTTCAGCATATGCTAGAACAAACAAATGCTATAACGAATGTGGTTGTAGAACCAATTACGCTCATTTTACCTAGGCTCACTCTACCTGCACCACTGGTAAGCGCGCATAGAGAGGTAATATCCTTGTATAAAATTCAACTTGACCTAGAGCTTTTTCGTGGCAGCGATTTCCGAAAGAGTTTCCGCCGGCAATTTTGCTTTTTTCATTAATTCCGCGAGTTTCCCCGTTCCATTAACGTTAGCGATGATTTTTTCGTCGTTCCAGCGGGACAAATTATTCGTAAATACGAAACCGGCATCACAGTCGAAAGTCCTCTTACGCTCTCTAATTAAATATACTCGGGCAATCAAACAGAAACGCGAGCTGACTAATAGTTTTTTTTTAAGTTACGATGTTTAATTATATCAAGCTATACGTGGGATCTTGGGAATTTGTTGCTCGGTCAAAGTAGTCTTTGCACATAGGATGATAAAAAATTCGTGAGATCAGCTGAAATTAATATTAATGAAAAGAATGTCTGTTCGCCCCGTGTACTACATGAATCACCGAACGCATTATAATAAGAAGAAGACAACTTAATCGATAACGTAAACGAATTATGTCGGATAGTAGAAAGCATTTGTGTGAAATACTTAGAACACGACCAGGAACTTTTCCGAGGAATACCGCTGAGATACGAAGCTGTCAAACATGTGCGGACGTGAGAGGATGGCAAGAAATGGTAAGATAATCCATTGTTTTCACGTTGCAAGATAGCGTAAATATCTAGGAAGCCACGGATTGGGAGCGAAACAACAAATTGCTTACAGCTGTGAATATATCAATGTTGTATTCGATATAATAACGTCTGCCAGTACTTAATAAATATCTTTCTTCATTCGATCATATTTTTCAGTGAATTTTCAATCCATGTCAAGTGTTCGCTAACACCTAGTACAACTCATTTCCTGGAAAGATTTGAACAAAAAGAATTTATGATATCAAATTTCATAATTCACGGGGAGTTCGTAACAGTGCAATCATAGAATGTTTAAAAAATATTTCTCCGCATGATCATCGCTGTACACTATTTAACCCCTTAATGCACAATTTAAAAAAAAAAAACCGACCAAAAAAAATCAATTTTTTTTATCTAAGAAAATATACATATTTGGACCTTAATTTCAATAAATATGTAAAAAAAATGCAAAAATTACTAAAAATTCAATAAAAATAGTGGATAAATAATTATAGCGAATATTGAATCGCATTGCAGATCGAATTTTGTACCCATCGTACTGTTTTTCAATTACCAGTTACTATTTTGAAGGGGAAGGAGGAGACGAAAAAAAAAACTGAAAAATATTTAATTTTACCTAAATTTGTAATAATATAATAATAATATTTATTAGCTGAAAAATATATAATAAACTAAAACTATTCAAAATTTTCTTTTGTATGGTAAATTTCAAAACAAGGTGCAGC